CCAGTTAAGTTGGGAGCGACTCGCGTTAGGTCTAAGTTCGCTGATTTTTGCAAGAATGCTGGGCTTACAATGTTAGCTAAGGACATAAAGAACAGCAAAGGGAGCAACCTGAACGTTTTTTTCTCGGCCAAGACACACAAACCGGATGTAGCTTTTCGCACTATTGTTAGTGAAGGAGGGTCTTGGCAGATTAACGTTAGCAGATTTCTTCAGAGCAAGCTAAAGATGCTCGTGGTGAATGACCCTCTTCGTACGAAGGGCTCAAGTGATGTGTGCGACTTTTTGCGGTCTCGCGTTACCGCAGGCAACGCCTTTTAAGTGGATGTTGTAGATCAATATTATTGCGTGCCGCATGACAAGCTTCTAGCCTCTGTAAAATTCTGCATAGAAGAGAATGGTGACGTCGATTTTATCAATGACGCGGGTGTTAATGAAGACAATTTTTTATCGCTTTTAGAAATTTATCTCAATGCAACTTTTATTATGTTTGACGAAAAGCCCTTTCTTCAGCGGCAAGGAATCTGCATTGGTTCCTATGTCGCACCGGTCCTTTGCGATATTTTTTTTAGTGGTTGTAGATAGAGACTTGGACAATGCTTTCAAAGGAGGGGAGGTTTTAAAGGTTTTTAGGTACGCTGACCACTTTTTAATTATTTTAGATAAACAGGATAACCTTACATCCCTGAATTTATTTCAAACGTTTTTATGAGACTAGAACGAGGGCTTTCCTTTACTGTTGACTTGCCTCAAGAAGCTTGTCTGCAGTTTTTAGACTTGAGCCTCACGAGAAATGATGAGCATCTTTGCTGGTCATATAATCCTCGTGTTGAGAAGCAGCTGTTGCCGTACGATTCTGCCCACTCAAAGATTGTGAAGAGGGGCGTTGCGTCTCTTTGCTTAGAATCAGCGCTAAAAAGGTCGTGCCCACACAGCATTAAACTTAGTTTCCTTAATCAGGTGAGCCGACTACAGGCTGCTAGGTTCCCTCGATCGTTCATTACGGCCGTTGCTGAATCACTTCTGCAGAAGTTTAAACGTGGAGCACGGGAAGCGATGACTGCTACCCAGCCCTCAAGGATTAGGCCACAAAATGTGCCATATATCAATAAGGTCTCGCACAACGTGAAGAAAGTCGCGGCCAGGCACGGCGTACCGATGGTTTTTTCCGCACCAGAAAAAATTGGAAGACTGTGTCAAAGTGGGTGCGATAGAAGGAAGCACGGCTGTCAGAAGAAACATGAAAGGGCCTCTGTTAAGTGTTCCATGGGGGTTGTGTACTCCATACCCTTATCCTGCGGAAAAGTGAACATTGGCTAAACCGAACGGTGTATTAATGACCGATTAAGGGAACACGCCCAAAAATTAACGAAAAGGGTTGACAAGTATGAGCACCTGGTTGCGCATGTCATCTCGTGTGGTTGTGACGCACGATTTTCTGAAACGAAGATTCTTGGCAGAAGCGCAAGTAAAACTGCACGTGAAGTGTTAGAAGCCTTTTTCATGGAAAAAAATAAAAATCACTGTGTAAGCGCCCCTTCAATTTTGTTGTTACCAAGCGAGCTTCAGTTTATCGCTCTAAGGCTATAACATTGATTAACTGTACGTTTTGATAATGTATGCTGTTGGCCTTTTTTTGGTGTGTGTGCGCACAATGTGTCCTGTATATATTCAAGCCTTCGAGCTATGAATAAATCAGTTGGAAATGAGCGCTGTGTGTTTGACGCATGGATGTGTGCGTGTGTGAGTGTGTGAGTGACCGTGTCAAGTTTTAGCGCTCGAATTAACTTTTCAAAATGCTTTACCAACTAATGTATGCTGTTGGCTTTCTTTTGGTGTGTGTGCGCAAAATGTGTCCTGTATATATTCAAGCCTTCAAGCTATGAATAAATCAGTTGGAAGTGAGCGCTGTGTGTTTGATGCATGGGTGTGTGCATGTGTGAGTGATCGTGTCAAGTTTTCGCGCTCGAAATAACTTTTCGAAATGCTTAACCAACTAGCCCAACAACAAGTTACCTTATAGTACTGACATCAGTTTGAGATTCGTGAAGTATTTTTTTGTTGTGATGTTTAGAAGACTAGGGCTGTCTTTGTGAACAGTGATAAATGTTTTAAATCGACGCGCAGTTGTCGAGAAATGAATGAGCTCCAGGTCGCTGTTACCCCTTTCATTGTTAGAGCACAACACACCAGTCACATGATGTCGCCACGCTGAAAACGCAACTCTGGGTTATTACACACTATTTCTTGAGCTGTACAACGAAGTTAACAAATTGCGTGCGAATATGCATAAACTGCCACATCAGACATGCGTCGAGACGAGCCCTAGGGAATTTGACTTCTACCCTTAAGATTTACGGCCATGATTTCCACCCATATTTAGTCCTACAGACCGAGCCCGTACAAGTGTTATATGCGCTTCTGGGTTTTATATTGCGCACTTTTTACAATCAAATATGAAATTACAGCTCAGCTGTAGCATCATTTAACCTAAGTGAAGCTTTTTTGTGTACGTTTTTTGCGCAAGGAGCGAAAAACAACGATGCCACGCGCTTGCAGCACTTCCATGAAATGTATGCCTCCCCTCACCGACAGCCGCCGGTCGCACACGTCGGCACTTCACTGGCTCTTATGCGAGAACACAGACTCGTCAATTCTTATGCTTACTGAACCAATTTGATAGGATAATGTTTCTGGCGCACTGCATTTGTTTTGGCCAAGCCGTTATGTAGTTGTTCCAAACGACAGAGCAACAGCGGTGCGCTAACACGACTGCGCAGTGCGTTGCGCGAAAAACTTCACAATCAATTGTGTGGGCGTTATCTATCGATTGAGCATAGAAGCGTCCTAAAGCTTGAACAGCTTTGAAAAGAGTGAGAAACGAATAATAAGCTTGGTAGTAACCACCGAGAAAGTCCACCTGCTGTTCGGTCCACTGAGTTGTAAATTTTCACAAAAACATAGCGCTGTTGCCATCATCGCAGTGGCAATCGTTACAGGCAGCGGTTTTTTGTGTTTAAAAATTGTGAAAATTTTATTAGCAGGTGCAGATCCCGTCCATCTCGTGTAAGCGACAAACAGAACTGAAGTTAAACAGTGAGTTCATGAGCTTACTACTAATTTAACGTTAAAGTTTCCACCTGGCCGTGTGGTGCAGTGGTTATTGTGCTCAGTTTGGAATCCGAATGTGGCAGATCGATTCAGCGCTGTCGCAGCGTTTCTTTACAGATGTTTTCTACATTGTTTATACATTTATTTTTATTATTTTTAGTGGCAGCTCCTCATGGTGGTTCTGACGCTGCTTCGCACTCTAGCAGTGCCGACTGGAGCGCGCCATCCACCATCCGCTCCTCCATGCATCATGTGCTACCAACATTTCCAACAGCATAATCCTTCGACAATGGTGGAATCCACCGTTCCTATGGTGCACATTTCTTAAATAGGGTATTCAACGTATTTTATCGACTGGAATGTTGACGCCTCCTGAAATGGAGCCTACTGAAGCCTACTTTTCAAATGCTGCAAGCCTGCATCCCCAACCATGAGCCACAAACAGTCACACTTTGCTCCCATGTCCCCAACGGCTTTGGCCATCGGTGACAGGGCAACCCATTTTCGCGCTCTTGGTGCTCGCGGAATACCGCTCTCCTAACACCTGACACACCCTGTTCGACCAAGAGAGCTAAATAGGCTGCCGTCGGGTTCACTTCGGTGCTGTTACGAAAAGTTTGCTTTAGAAGCCCTTAGTTCTTTCTTGATTCTAGGCAACAGTGTTAATGACTGAAGGCGTTTCATGAATACAACGAGATAGGCATCGTCAGGAAACAGCATGAACAGTGGTTCGCCGACTAACTGGTGTGGCTCGCTTCGACAGATATATGGCTCTGTGGTGGTGGCGATTCGGAAAGAAGAGTGGGCTAGAACCATTCCTTGTTTTTGTCGTAAAAACGTATTGAACGCTAGGGACCGTTGCATGCCGTACAGTTGATATGATAGCGTTAATTTAGTAACGCTGCTCAGCCTGGTGCCTTTCTCTCAGATGCAACCATAAAAATTTTTTTATTTTATTGTACTGCGCAATAAACAAGGTTTGCAAAAGGATTGATACATGAACTCAAAAGACGCAGCCCATATGCCATTTATGAAGACGGACTAAATTTTTGCCATTTATTAGATGTGAAGCAGTGTATGGCGAAGTTATTCTGGTTTACGTGACCATCTTTACTGTTGATAGGCGAGAACTGGCCCAAGCACTGCCAAAACACGCCACAGCTCGTTGAGGCTTGTGTATGTGGCTGGGTAAGACATTGTGGCTTCTCCCTTTTACACTCTCATCAATCAATAATTTGATGGTGCCGGGAAAGGAGATTCTGCAGACCAGCGATGAACCAACATGTTCTATCTTGTTGTGAACGCGCTGGCACCCTCTAGCGCTTTCGGGCTTGCGTAAGACGCTGTTTAAGAGGCTGCGGCTTCTCCCCATTACGCACTCAGCATCCACATGATGTTGTCGGGGATTCTGCAGACACGTGTTGAAGCGACGTGCCTCCGTATAGCGTGGCGATGAACCCACGTAGCATGCTCCAACAAGAGTCCGGAATGTGTAACAGCAACAGAAACTATCAAGTGAACTCGCGTGATTTACTTGAAAGGATCCATTAACATTACACGTGGTGCCCACGATGAACAAAACTGATTCATGCTCTGCTTCCCATGCTAGTCATGCTTCCTTTCATGGCAAATTCTGTAATTTTCACCTTATTAGGGCATTACATTTTGTGGTCGTTCTTTCAAATACCAAATGAAGAGCTTGTGATTTGTACCGAGTGTGTAGGACAGCCAGCTAATACTCCGATTATAATTTTAATGCCCCGAAAATAATCCGTGAAATTGTTTCGAGCTAATTATTGAAAAGTGTATTGTATAAGTGAACGCCGTGACACTGAAAGAAGTTGTCAGAACACTCTCTAAAGAATGTTCGCGACAGGTATCTTCACAGTAACTGACGATTCGACAGTGCCTCATTTATTCTCAAGGCATTTTTGGCTGAAACGGGCCGGGCCGGGCGAGGTACGGGCATGAGTTCAAAACACCGCACCGTGTGGTCTGGAGCATAGCGTTTTCAGGCTGGCCCCGTCCGAAGAAGGAGAATTCTGTCTGCAGTGCTCTAACGACACAAAACCACCAATGAAAGCATGAAGGATACAGGATTCGGAACCACAAAAGCTGACTGCCCGAGCATGTGTAGGTTCAGTTGAACGGTGCTTCCTCCTGTTTCGTGGTAACGGCGGTGGTCGAGGATAGAGTTGACGCTGACCCTGGCGGTTCTGCAGAGAGCAGGTAAAGTTAGATGCGGCAAACTGAGCGATATATATATATATATATATATATATATATATATATATATATATATATATATATATATATATATATATATTTCAGCTTCTGAAATAAAAAACTTGGGGCTGCCTTTGCAGTTGATGATATGTGGATTTTACCAACATAAAACCACCTTAAATTCTGAAAGACGTCGTAGTGGAAGGCTCTGCAAATTTTGACCAACTGGGGTTCTTTAACGTGCACAATATTCTGAGCACATGGGCCAAAAACTTTACCAACTCCATCGGAGGTGTAGCCGCCGCAGCCGGGATTCAACCCTGTGACCTGCGGGCGAGCAGGCAAGTACCTTAACCACAAGATTGCCGCGGCGGGGCGCTTTTGCAGTCACTCTTCAACTACAGGCTGTCAGAGGGCCTAGGCCGTCACAGAGTCAACTCGTCCCGGTTCCACTTCGGATAGACACAACGACTTTATTGGGAGCCCCAGGGCTGCTTTATCCATTTTCCTCAAGACTATTCAATAATGGCCTTGTCTTGTTAAGCTGCTTTGATGAAAATGCCACTTAAACAATGGTGCACGCAACAAGTAGGCTTTTGCGCTACGTGCGTGCAGCATTTAGTAAAAGATTAACGCACCCAAACATTTATCTACCAAAGATGCAACAGATTCAATCGATGTTCCAGGACTTCATTGTTTTTAGCCAAGTTTAGCTCGAGTACCTGCAGGAGTTCTCAGCCCCTGTAGTTAAACGCCGCGAAATGATTTCCCTGGTTACTGGTCACTCGAGTGCAATATTTGGCTTCCTGCCCCTAAACGTTAAATCATTTGCTTAAAAAAATTTCGTCCATACACTCAAACAATCAGGTTCACTTCCACCCAGACTGTTCTTAAAATGTTGCACAGGGAAACTACAGAGATAGCACACTAAAACTGCACGCCAACGTCGCTACAGCCATAAAATATGGGCGTGTCTGTCTCACACTTCAGAGTACAACAACGCAGATGAATTTTACGGAATAAAACAGTGGTGCCGTCAGTGACTGCGATGGTTAGACACTAGATACCGATATATTTAGAGTGACAGAAACCAATACAGATAATTTATATTTTATTTCATCACTAATAAATACTTTTGATGGTTTAGGCGGCAAATCAACAGCATCTTTCCGCTATATTTACAACCGTAAAACGTGCAGAAGCACGCGTTTGCACTCAGCAGAACAATAGCGCTGCGTTCGCTTCACGTATGATGCATTGCTCAAGAACAGCAGCAAGAATGTCAGCTGAAGGCCTAATGACATGTGCCTACGTGTTTGAGAATTACTAATTATGTCATGTGACGCGTCACTGAAATTAATCGTGGAGGCCAGGACTGCCTAGTGCTCGAGGCTGTAAACTTATCTCATGCAGGCGCATGGCAAGATACGTTTTTTAGGGGGGCCGCTCATGACATCAAGTGGGGGAGGTGTTTGGAGGCATGCACCGACAAAACGGCGAGTTTTCGCCGAGAAGCTACAGCGAAAGAAACATTCGCGAAGGAAGGAGTTCGCGGGGCCGTTACGCCTCCCCTGTCTACGCCAGTGATCTCACGTGACGACGAGCGTTCGAAAAACTGGAACTCCCTGCTTTTTTTCTCCTTTCAAAATGGTAGAAAACATGAAGATGACAGTGCTTGACCACAGTTTCACCCAGTCAAAGCATTACCTTAATCAAAACGTATGGAGGGCGATCGGCATCGCTATTGTTCAAAGCATGGCTGGAGGACATCTACGTATGGTTCAAGGACTCTTCGGATAGAAAAATACTGCCAATATAAAAAACATCGCACCCGTGCCAGTAACCACAATAGCTACAGAATTTATTAAAAGTGAGGTCTATTACACATAAAAGGAAAAAGAGTAGGTCAAAACAAATTGATTCTCGTTTTTTTAAAATTTTTTTTCTTAGGGTTTCTAGCATGACGATATGGTTCGTGGTATTATACGGGTGCAAGATCTTACTAAGTGCATTGTGTTGAAGGCAAGCGATTGGTAAGAGGTGCCTGGATGCACAGCGATTAGAATTTAGACTGAACGCACGCGCGCCTGGCTAGGGGCAATAAAAGCGTCGCGTAACAGCCATGGTTAGAAATACGACATGCGTCGCATGTGCTCGGTGCTCTACTATTTGCACCCCGCGCATCAAATCAGGTATACACTTGTTAGCCATCTGCGTATCCATGACTCGGTGCGCGTGGCGCGAATTGTCCCTAACACGGCGCGCGTGGTGCGAACAGTATCGCAGTGTACATATGGCGCATGTGCAATGATTCAACGATGGCTGTTCTGTTCCACTGGCATTGGAGCCAGCCATGCGCTTGTGTGTTCATCCAAACAGTCTTCACTGCAGTACTAGCCAGTGTATCTTTGTCTACGCATTTTGGCATGCAAATAAAGTCAGGCGACGCGCTTCCCTTTTTGGTGAATGTGTGGCAAACTTATCACTAGGAAAGCCTCGTCATATCGATCTCACGGACTGCGTCGACAGGTGAGTGTTATAAGCAGACAACATGAAAGCGCTTCTGTACGAAGTTATAGCCAACGAGCTCTGGCGTGGAAATCCCATAAGCTCAAGCAGCAAAGGACAAGGTAATCTCGCGAGTTGTGAAGATGGCAAACAATACTTGCCGGCGATTGTTTTGAATGAGTGCAAAATTATGCGAGAAAGGCTGCGATATGCCCGGTGCAGGTGAAGTCCTGTGTTCAACCATCCAATAATAGCTCCGTTTTAACAGAGAGTGGATAGAGCAAGCGGAAATGCATTCGCACCCTCAATGTGTTACGAGCCCGCTTCCACAGTGTTCTGTGAAGACGTATAGGTGTCCAAGTTCTCCGTATGGTTGGCGTTCAGTTAATTGTGGCATCGTCCAACGTCATGAGCAAATAGTCACGGCATCGTTCGCATGTGAGTTGAGTATTACCATTAGAAGGATGATTAAAATGCTCGGTGATCCAGAAAAAGTCGCACTCAAAACGCTCGTAGCATCTTGCAACCCGGGAAGTGAATTACACGTTTAAAATCTGTCACAGATATAATATATATTATAAAGATTTCATGACTACACGGCTGAAGTCCTCAGCAGAGGGACGCGTTCTTCGAAGCATTTTATGTAAACAAAGCACGGGAACAATAATTGCCTAATGAGCAACCACGCAAACATGGTGGAGTAATCGAGAAGGTAGCTTGAACTTTGTTATTCGAGTAGACTGGCACCGGCTAACTGGCACAATTCGAAGATAGTTTAGGCAAAGCATTTGAATCTTCGTGATAAGTTTTAGGAAATACGACAACGTTGAGAGAATAACACGGTACCTTTTTTGTGAACATAGGCAAACTGCCATCTAAAGACATATGGTCCGGTCTGGGCGGTGTTCCGTCTCTCATTCTTCCGCGGCGTTGAAATGATTGTGCGGTGCCGGTTACACAACGCAGCACGCTCGCACTAAAGGGCGGCTACAACCGTCGAAAAGCACGGAATCCTTTTCTAAACGCAAATATACGCCCACATGCTCACGCGTTCGAATGAATAAACAGAAGGCAAGCTGAAGCATCAGACACGTGACCTTATCTGTCTGCCAAGGGGGCATTAATATATAATCACAAAAGGCGATATCATGAAAATATCGTGTTCGGTGCGTTAAGACTGGCTCTTGAGCAAAACCGGCGCTCTGAAGCATTGCCGGTAATGTCAAGATTCTAGAGATGCTCCTGAGAACCCTGAAAAAAAAATGTTATCGCCCTTGGTTGGTGGTAGTCTGCAATTGAATAATATTGATTGTAGCTTTAAAAAATTGTGTGAATGAGAGCAGCATTTTTCAAGTACGCTTAAGCTTTCGGTGAGCTTTACCTTATTGTGATTTCAGTGACCCTTGTGTTTGCAATTGCGTGTTCGCTTTTCTGTGTGTCTTTTATTTCTTGTGGTTTGAACGGGCTAGGAACATGAACCACGATTAAGTGCACTACAACAGAATAGAGCTTAGAACGTCTGCAGTACCAAAGTGCAGAAAGAGAAGGTTCAAACCACGTCAAGCCACTTGTGGCGCTACGATCGGTAGCCTTCGTTGTGTTGTCGTTAAGGAGTTTTGCGTGGCTCCGCCTAAAGGTACAGTATTAGAAAGCCCCGGGTTCGTTTTACTACAGCGAGAGCTGTTTTGAGATCAAAACATGTGTCACGCGTGGTGCCGCAGTTGTCCGTCACCATGGCCGTGCGTGTACGTAAAGAGGAATAAAAAACTCAGTAAAAAATGAATACACCAAGGCCACACTTGGGCTCAAACTCGGGTTCACTGCTTTCCAGCCCAGTATTCTACCACAGAGCCACGCAGCTGCTTCGGACTCTTTCGCTAAGTTGCCTTAAGCTAGCTCAACGACGGGAAAGGAATCGCGTTAAATCATTAAGCGTTTTAAACAGCAATGGAACACCCACTGATCACACACTGCGAATAGCGTAACGAGTGGGTCATTCATTACTCAAAACAATTACAATAGTATGTTCTTGATCGCCTATAAACTGTGGCGCATACCCACTTCATTGTCGTCAGTCGCTGCATGAACTATTCCTTGCAAGTGTTTAGCAGGCACCACCCAGCTCAGAAGAATGACAGCATAGTGAATGCCAGCGTACTACACATAAATAAGTTTTAGGAATGCCGTAGTCAGTACCCCGCAAGTGTGCTTGCAACAGTTAACAAATGAGGGTTCAAAAAGGGCACTGAATTATACAGTTTTTCAGAAAATTACCTAGAGAGAAATCTAGTGGTAGTGAGGTGCTTGATGCAAAGGGAATGACGGGTTATGTGAGCTTTCAGCTTGACTCGGATTTTCGTACTTTTCGTAAAATAATAGTTTGTTACTGAAAGAGCACGTAATAAGCTTTTTTTGTCATTGCATAGGAACCTGTTTTATTTAACACAACTTTCTGCGTGAATGTACAAATAAACAAAGCGTAACAAGTACCCCACGGCCACTAAACTTGGCATGTAGACGACAAAGCGAGCGTTCACTCTGCCACTTTATGACGTCTGTTTACATTTTTTCGCTGTTTGTGCCGTCAAGGTAAGTGCACTTTTATGTTATAATATATTACGCATGGATGAGATCCGCATACAAACGTTTTGTATTACAGAAGCTTCATTTAGGCTGTCATATTCGCGAGCCGAGGCTCCACTCAACACAAGGCTCGCAGACACATATACAGTCATTACCAACGCTCAAACGAGGCCCCTTAAATTCGAATAGACGTTTGCGCCACACTTCCCTCTACGTATGTTCGTGAGATACTCTACGCTCTGAAAGGGCGCTGTTTTAGCTTTCGCTGTGACTGTGCTGTGCCTTCTGCGCAGGCCTGCCGGTTTTTTTATACGTGCCAATTCTGACAGCTGTATTGACTCTCTTTTGTTCTTTTTAAAACTAGCTTCAACTTCTGCATATCGCTACAAAAATTATCTTTCAAAGTGTCATTTCTTTCCGTATCTCACTGTCGCAAATATATTGGAGGTAGTACTTCACGTCTTTTCTGACTGGCTTGAAGTGGCACTCTAAATAACTACACCCACTGCCAAACGTTTTCTATCTAACTTATTATTTCACGGAAATTTTTGTACCACTACGTAGCACCTGAAAATACAAATGGCATATGCACTCCCAAGTATAATAAGGCATGTGCATATATGTGCGTTTGGTAATTTAGGAGTTGTCTTTTTAATTATTATTGTGGTAATGTACTCGTGGGCTAAATGATTGATCATTACTTACAATCACGGCATGTGACGGTGCGCATCGGGTCAAGAGACGAACACGAATGTGCTACTCTGTGTTTTTCCCTGTAGGCTCTGCCATGTCCCAAATGTTTCGTTTTTAAATTCCAACAGAATATACGCACTACAGTTCCTGAATTTACTGTCCGTGCAAGATGAACATGTCCTGGACGTCAACTGCTTTTGCAAAACTCACAGGGCCCCTTAAGCATTCACCTAGGGATTGCATTGCGATAGCCATTATGTTATTATATGCGAAGCACCTCTTTTTCTAGCCTATGTAACGCTGTACTTCCATCCGCACCACGCTCCTTTGGCCCATATGGTTTTGGGGAGGCTCCATGTAGGTCACGCCTTCCCTCGCTGTGTGCGCGCATTGACATCACTATGTCACCAGCTTGTGACCGCTCGCCGCGTGTCATCTTTCTCGCTTCAACCTCTTTATGGCTGTCAACAATGGAGGAATCGCTGTTCACATTCGGAGTCAGCGTGCGCTATGCGCGTTAAACGTCGATCTGGAGCAACGACCGGGAACTTCTCCAAGACGCTCCTGCTCCCAGTATGTTGCCGTGCGCGTCGGCGACGTCGCGATCCTTGTGCTGTTACTCCCTCTCAACCTTCCGAATGAATAGGATCCATGCACACTGTAGGAGACACTGAGTAATCGCGGCGAGGCGTGTCGACGCGCTCCTCTTATAGTCGCGGGAGACTTCAACGTTGATATCAGTGAAGAAGGAGGGGAATCGCTCATTGATTACAGGCCTGAGGAGCACTCACTGAAGTGCGTGTCCGCGGAAAGGTAACTACCCACAACTATAGGGGAACGTGCATCAATCTGGTCTTTGCCAACTTCAACATCAAATGTATCCAGGAACCTCTCAGTGTGCACTTCACCAATCACAAGGTCGTGGTAGTCAAGGCGAAGCGCGCGCCAGTTCCGGTCCAGAGCGCATGTCGACTCAGATAAAACCACAAGAACTACGCCAGCCATCACTTCAAATAAATCTTCCAGTGCTCACTGCAGCACCCACGTAAGCGCCGTTCAACCCATGACGCCACCCGTGCGCAACGCAGCTGCTTCGCACCCCGTCAGGGTTCCCTTTGGGAAGATTTCGTTAAATTTTTTCCTTTATTTGACTCATGGATCTTATCTCTTCCACAACATTCTGCGCTGGTCAACGGTGAACTGCACAGATTGCTTCAAGCTTACAGCAAATATTGACCCTGCTTCTAGTAGGGGCTCGTATGTCAAAACGAAGGCCCACACCACTGAAGAAGCTTGCACGTGTCCCCGCTCCGGCAACAGGAACATCTTCGGGGCTCTCTGCGAATTCCTATGTAACACAAAAAGATAACCTTGCTGAGCCAACATCAGCTCACAATTTTCGCTAGTCAATCTAACATTTATTACTCAACTACTACAATGTATAGTTTTAACCTTAGGAAGATTTCCATACAATGACAACACCTCAATTATTAAAAAATTGTAATATTTTTTTTCTTTTACCTTTCTTTACATTTTGCCAAAATATTTCCGTCAAGTCTAAACAAATTGTTTCTTATTCCCCAGCCTAGATAATTTTAAGGTATTGACTTATATTAACCGCCGGCTTCTTGGCTGATTCCTCTTAGTTGATGAGAGCCACGAAAATGAATCAAGCAAGCAAGCATAACCTATGCGCTTGGTAAGATTCCTGTTGCTCAGACCAAACTGAACCTGCTCTAGACAAATGGAGCGAAGTGACAATATACAGGACGGATATCAGCATACACGTCGAACTTCGAAAAGCGCTTAGTGAGTTATACCTACATTACTAAGCTCTACCACTTAGGTAGGTGGATATGGCCTCCACCTCACACCAAGCTGAAACGATGCCATTGAGTCATCTGGCGGCAACTGCAGACGGACATCTTTCTCAGTCTGGTGTAATTGTGGCACATTTTTTTCACGCAATACCCGAGTGGTACTTGTAAGTTTTGCATGTAAACTGGAACAACACACACACTTGTTGTCGAAGTGCTTTGTTACAAAGATCAAGTGGTGGCAGAAGACGTAAGAGTGTTAATATTCGCCCGATTCTTGAACCAGGTTGTTTCCGCGTCTTCCAGATACAAGTGGACGCTACGGAGCTTCTCTTCCGTGTCGCACTGGTTGACAGTGGCCACTTGTAGCAGGTGTCTATCCATGTCTCCACACTCACGCCAGCCCGAGAAGTGGTTACGAGGCAAGCCCTTGAGAACCCTTCATGAAAGTCCTCAGCTAAGGTTGTGAACATTGAAGGACTTTCAATTAAGTTGTTTCCATCCATTCATCACAGTGGCTTGGTTATAGGAAATGATAAAAATAAATTTGTCATGCAGGCCCGGCTCAGGTGTCATACCCCGGAGATCATGGAAACGCACTTACACATGGTAAAATTCAGAAAAAAGTAATACATGCCGTCGGCGGGAGTCGAACCCGCGTGGGGACACCCCAACGGTTTTCGAGACCATTGCCTTAACCACTCGGCCACGAGTGCTTTCTTTCATGGTATTTAATAAAATATTTGCGCAATAAAGACAAAATCAAGCGAACAAAAGTACAATCAACTCTCAAAAATAAGCGCTCAAGCGTTACTCATAAACACTAAATTGGTAACTCAGCATGAGTTCCTCACAAGGAGAGTTCTTCGCGTCGTGTTATACAAACAAAAAGGGGTGAGGTCAAACAGTTCTCTAAGATGGAGTACCAGTCTGGTCTAAAGTCTAGCTCGTCGTAAATGTTTTTTAGGGAGATAGCCATTTGAATGAAGTGTGCGCTTGAAGAGGTGGTGGGCTCTGCATTGCGGTCTTGCATTCGTGTCTTCCACAAGCTGTGCATACCCATGAGGAAAAACATATTATATGGTACTTCATCAAGCGCTGCTGGTAGAAGATAACATATTGTGTGAGAATTAATGACGAAACGTTTTTTTCAGTGCTCGCTGAAGGACATCCCAAAACAGTAAGGCGTGTTTGCAGCTAACAAAGCAATGTTCAATCGTTTCCGGCACATCACATAGACGGCCGTTAACAGATGGAATGAAAATACCCTTCCTTTCTAACTATGTGTTTACCGCCAATGTTTCAGAGTGGAGTTTATAGAAGAATGTATTTGAATTCTGTGGAATGTACATTTTGCGCACTCGCTTCAACACTTCGTGGCCTGGAAGATTGGAGTACAGTGAAGGGTACAATGGAGGTGGGTAGAGTGTACTCAGTAGGTCCTTATACAACACCTTGGGCGATACTGTGTACAGGTATTATACAAAAAAGCTAGCTGTAAGGAACCGAACCGCAAGGTAAACTTCCTGCATGAATCCCCACAAGCATGGGCGTTCGGAGAAGTTCAATGAAAAAATTAAATCTGGTAAGTAATCAACAAGTGTAAGCTGCAAGAAGGAACGGATTACAAGATGGGAATTGTCTCAAAAAAAGAAGAATCGGAAAACCATTTGCCATAGATAAAGGTGTTTTGGTCCTAGCCCACCCTCACTAACTGGCTTGAATATATTATCACGATGCATGGGCTCAGAAGTCGAAGACCATAAGAAAGTAGCGAAAATCCGAAGAAAGCGTTGTATATAGAATCTTGCTCAAAGAATAAGTTGCAATATACAGTAAAGCTTTGTCGCTAAGAAAGAATTTCAAGCTTCAGCTCTCCCAAATATCGAAATTCGATAGGGAGCAAATGTCTGGGCCTGTCGTTAAAGCTTAGGGACGCGTTTCTTTCAGTAATGCGCACTGAATCTATATGCATGCAGTGGTATACCGAGGTATGATGGAGCAGTTCTTGTCCAATTAATCCCTGCAAAGTGGCTCGGTGTGCTATCCCACAAGCCAAACCACAGTCCTAAACTTTTAGAGGCATTTGAACGAGCTCCTGATACTACGCCAAACTTTTCAATAGCATATACCACACTTTCAACACTTGGTTTATCAGTGCAAAAGGATGCGACATCGTCTGCATAAGCCAATACTTTAACCTCACTGCCAAATATACTAAAGCCACGAATGAAACTTGACTGTATTATGCTTAAACACAATGGTTCTAGATAAAGTGCAAATAAAAGAGGTGACATCGGGCATCCCTGTTTTACAGAAGAGTGAATAGAAACTGGCTTGGAGAGTTCACCATAAGCTATCAGACGAGTTGAGCATTTATTATACCATAGTTTAACGCCTTTAAGAACAATTTTGCCAACATTTGCTTGTTCGAGAAGAGAAAAAAGGAAGGACTGACGAACACGATCAAAAGATTTTGCAAGGTCTACCTGTAGCATTGCAAGATGTTTTTGAGAACCATGACAGTATTGAAGCACTGTGCGAGGGACGTGTATATTGGTTTGTATGGATTTACCTCTGATCCCACATGTCTGATGAGACCAAATGAGGATCGACATAGCAAATTGGAACCTATTTGCTAATACTTTTGCGAAAATTTTGTAGTCCACGTTTGACAGGTATATTAGTCTGTTGCCCTCGACGAAGCGTAGTTTTTCCTTGTCAGTTGTTTTCGGTATTAACACAGTGTGACTTTTGCAAAAAGATTGTGGGAGTGTATCCGTGTCATAACTCATCTCAAAAATATTCAGCAATATAGGAGCAAGTGTTTTCTTGAAAGCTTTGTAAAATTCGCCTGAGATGCCATCAGGGTCCGGTGTTTTCTATAAAGGCAAGTTGTTGTTTGCTTGCTGAATTTTCTGTATAGTAATGGGCCCATTAATGACTGCACAATCATTGTCCTTCAAGGAGTTCACAAGAGACACAAAACTAGCCTTAAGGTGAGCGTCAAGATCATCAGAGGGAGAGCTAAGCAAACTGTTATACTACGTTTCGAACGCCAAAGTAATGTCTCCGTTATCTTTTATGAGCACATCGTTGAAGTACAAGTATGGTATAACTTTAGAAATCGCATGTCGTTGCTCATCAAGTAAAGCTTGGCGCGTCGGTTGCGCAGAATTTAAGGTGCGCTGGTTCCAAGATCTAATGCACTCTCAAACAGTTTACACCCATATGGGTGAATTTGTTTTGTCCCATGGGCAACAATTTTTAGGGTGTCTAGGAACAACCTAAACAATAAGATGTTTAGAAACACCCTGAAACCATAGGGTGTATAGAAACGTTACACCCTACAATAGTAGGTGTTTATGAGCACCCTTAAACTATGGGTGTTTGATAAAGCTACACCCATGCGAGTGGGGTGTAACACTGAAAACCCCCTTGAAATGATGGAAGTTATATGGATAAGATTACTTCATCAAATGAAGCGCAATTAACGGGACAACAAAAGCAGAGACACAGGAGGTGACGCTTAGTCTTGAGGGTTGAGGAGAGCCGATCATAGCACTTTTTTCTATCAAATATGCATCACCAACTGGCCCAAGCTTCAATCGTTCTCAGGGAGAATCATATATGAACCTTCTCTGCAGCTGACAGGGAAGAAGGAAGATACTGGTGTCATCCACTGCACGAATACCTCCATGCATGCAGCTGATAAAATAAGGTTCCATGGTCTTGAATGAGCTGCATAAGACAAGTGTATATATGTGTAGGTAGACTGGGTCAAAACGACAAAGTAGGAGGCGGAAGGCTCTTATACATACATACATACATACATACACACACACACACACACACACACACACACACACACACACACACACACACACACACACACACACACACACACACACACACACACACACACACACACACACACACACACACACACACACACACACACACCAAACCTCAGTAGTACAATCAGTAACCTGTAGCGTAAGGTTAAACCGAACATAACGCCGAAGCAAAAAACAACTAAGCCCATATGCTCACATCTGCCTTTATTATAAAAAAAACTTCAAGTCTGACAAACAGGACTCTGATGGCTTTCTGCAAAATTTCGAAATATCTCACGTGACCAAGTTTTTTTCTGTTTATACTGGAAATTCATTGTTATCAATACAATAAATCTCCACAACGTTCAAAAACATTTGTCGTAGTCATGCAAATGACTGAGACGTATGGCGTTGATTGACACCTATACAATATAAAAACACGTAGAAAGGGTAAGCGAGTTTCTGGAGTCACATTTACAACCTAATATATCTCGCAGTATAAATTTCGACAATAATAAATGAGAACATTCGACAAGGTGGTGTAATTGGGGTTGTATTAATGTAATGACAGTGTGGGTATACTTCTAACTGTAAAACCACAGCTCGTCACTGCTGCTTGCACAATCCTCTTCAGCTGCTGAGATGACTGGTGCCTTCGGGTGAAATGAGGCGAAGCTGTTCTTTCTGTACAGGAAATTCAATCCCGGAAACATAAAATAAATACACAAGAAACAATGACCAAAAATTCACAAAGCGTCCAACATACAGTATGCACCCTGCATAAATAACTGCTTTCTTATGTGTAAGTATATATTGAGTGCATAGCAAGCATATTCAGTGGCTACGGGCTCCACTGCAGTGAAAAATGCTAGAATAGGTATGCTGAGCAATAAACTCCATAAAAAACGCGCTGTGGCAGAATCATTACACATTTCGTGCTGTGGATATGAACCTTACTTTACACTTTCAGCTTGCTCGCGCAGGCAAATAAAAAGCGCAGCTCCAAGTTGATAATGTTTAATTAGCTGTATGCATCGACCAATCTAAGTGAATGTCAAGTTCTATGCCCAAGTATGCATCCACACAGCTACATGTGTGTTTCTGCATATCTACCACATGGTAATCTTTGAATTAGTTTATTAAAAAGAATACAGTACGACGCGCAACAACCAATACATATTTTATCTGTATTGCACAAAAGCGCAATGCCACAGAGCATACATGACTGTATGCGAATTGAGAAGGTATTCAGTGCAGGTAACTAGTAAAATTAAGCAGTGTACAGTTACGTATTAAAATGCGAATTATAATAGTGTTCTTGAACTGGCTCACATTGACACAATTATATAATTGAAGAATTGGCTAATTGCCTAATCATTTTGGTGACCATCTCAATAGTATTAAAAATTCGCGCTGATTTTACTGCATTAAAAAGGTATCTGTTAGAATAATTCGCAGAAAAACATTTTTGGTCGCATGGCTGCCTCCTGAACTTCCCGGAATCTCGTCTGGATGTTTGCGAAAAAAGTTATTTCATAAGTACCTCTTCTTCTTCCGTGCCAAATTTTGTCTTCAAGTTAAGTGAAGGGCTTGCGTAAAGTGTTTGAAGCTCAGTAATATTATTACCATTTTGCGACCACATACGCCTCAAATAATTTAGCCGAAATGTGTTATATCTGCATTTTTATATCGATACTGCACTTTGAATCAATATCTGAGGAGTTAATACTTAATCCACATAAGGTATATTTGGAGGAAAAAAATATTTTAGACCTCTCAAGCTGTCAAACTTTACGAGAAAAAATCGTGAATTTCACAAAATAGTTCTTTTGTCTAAAATGACACGCAACTTGCACCATGTGGTAGTTGAATCAGGATAG